CCAAAACCCCAAAACCCCAAAACCCCGGAAGACAATATTGAAATTGAATAATAAACATCATACTAGTTTTAATCTGAGATTAAATATTTATTTAATGGATTAGGAAAGAATAGAGAGGATCGTACATAAAAGTCTATCAGTGGAAAGACAAAGAAATAACCCTTTACAACAGACTGTAGATAATATGGAGTAAAAGTTGTAATAAGTTTATGATGATGTATGATCTTGTAAGTATTTTAACTTAAAACTGTATAGACAAGGTTTTCAATAAAAATTTGGAACTATCAGATGCTCTTTATCAGATACGTAATTGCCAAAAGTACTTACCACCAGTAAGACACTATCCTAATAAAATCATTTTAGTTTGAGGAATGCTTGAAAAACTAAACTAATTTATTGGATTAGGTTGCTCGATTAAGTTATAAGCTAAACGATTGGGTGGCTGTCGTTGAAACTCACAGCATTTAAATTGCTAATTTGGAGGAAAAATTTAACTATTACATTCATGGGAAAAGCGGCGAAAACTTATCTCCAGATTTAATTTCACTACTTGAATAGAAAGATAAATAGACTGATTAGAAAATTTTAGATTTGGAAGATCGAGTACCTTCCCACTAAAAAATAAATAATATTCTAAGCTAATAATGTGATCTCATAATGATTAATGATTTCTACAGAAATAGATTAGGGCTTATTGAAAAGAAATTGAGAATTAAAGAAGAGGATCCTTAAGAACAATAACTAATTGATAAGATAAAAAGGTTAGAAGAAAAAAGTGAGAATACAGTTTTAAGGACTGAATTCATGAAAGCTAATTTTGACGAAAGAGTTAAGTTAATAGAATAAAAGGTTTAGGTATAGAAAACCATTTATGGAGATCTTTAATCTGTTATAAATAATAATGACTATGGGAATTCTTTAGCAAACACAACGCGTGTCTATAATACTAGAAATTAAAATCACTTATTACAGCCATTGATAGATACTAAATCTATTGAAAGAGATCTTATTGACCCTAAAATTAAAGAAATAAAGGATGATGTTCATAAAAATAACGAAAATACTGAGAGTAAATTCAGTACAATCACAAAAACTCTACAGCTAATGAATGAGAAATAAGAATCATAAGACAGTGCAATAAACTAGAATATCGATAAGATTTCGGATTAATTGGATTAAAGCAATCAGTTAAATATAGCTACCTTTAAGCAAATTCTGGATTTCAAGATATAAGAAATACAGGAAAAATATTCAATGCAGTCAGAGACTTAAAGGAAAGAGGTTTTGGAAAAATTAACTTAACTTCAAAAAATGATATAAAACAGAGCTCTGAATAAATCTACTGACACTTTTGATTCACCAAACTTATCAACTTCTATTGATTCGACCTCAGAAAGTAAAACAAAAAAGATGCAAGAACAATAAAAGCAACTAATAATAGTTGAAATCTAAAAGCAAATAAATAACATTATAGACATTAGTAGGATATAAGTTCTGGAAAATGGATAAAAAAATTTGTATGAGCTAATTGAATAACTTAGAAAAGAATTTGAATTTATGAGAGAATCGATCTTTGATGTCGTAAATAATTACAAAAGAGAAAATGAGGCTCTATAGAGAGAAAATAAGAGGTTACTTAATGTATCCAGAGATTTGGCAGTGGAAGCAAATCATTCGAATGAAAGAAAAACCACAGAACTTCATCATCCAAATGATAGCAACATTACTCTGTATAAGTTTTAAATGCCAACGCATAGACAGAGAGTTTTAAAACCAATTCAGACTATTCATTCAAGAAATCAAACAATAAAAAATGTGTCCCAGTTTGTAAACTAATCAATTGATGTGCTTCCAGATTTGATAGATGCTCAAAATCTTATGATTAATAATCCATTAGATCAAAGCAAGCTAATGAAAATAAATGAAAATCAAGACAGTCTCGACCAAAGCATCTACCTTAAAACCCCATCTATAGTTACTAGAAATAGAAATGACAATAATCAATCTGACTTTAAAAACAGAACTTAAGAGGCATTTAAATAGAGTTCTTTTAGTGGACAAAATCTGAGACTAAAGAAGTTCACGTCTATATTTGATCATATGAGACCAAGTTAGCACAAATCACCTGATCCTATGTTAAGACTTCGTAATAGTTTAAATCACTGAGTTATCAAGTTCATATCTTAATTTCTTTATTAATTTTTATTTTTAATTTTTCTCCTAAATGCAATGCTTTTGGGGTTTTGGGGTTTTGGGGTTTTGGGG